AAGTTTGTTTTTTTTCAAAATCTACATACTAGACCAATGATTGAAAAATATCCTTAAATATTTGATTTGATCATCGCATCAACTTGATTAGAACTATTGTCATTTGAAATTTGTTACAAATGAAATATTTTACTTTTTATTTCAATATATTTTATATCAATATGGTTATCATCATTTGATCTACTATAGGGTGTACAGCTTTAGACAATATTCGTAATTTGTTATAAAAAATAATAATTTGGTGACTAAAATATTAAATTAGATAGTATTTTTAGCTATATTTGTTGTCAATACGTGAATTTTGCATAATTGATCTTGAAAAAATTATGATATGATTTGATGCATTTTTCCCAAAAAATAACACCTATTTACTTGTGAGCTTTTTCAATTATACTTAGTTTTTATTAAAATATTAATCATAAAATTCTCTTATTATAAAATAAATTATCATCCAACATTATCCATTTTAAATACTCTTGGAAAAATCTGAAATTTTAATTCATATTCTCAATGCAAATTGATTTGATTGAAACGTGATATTGTATTTTGCATATACTGTAGTAAGATCAATGTCAAATGTAATTAATCTCAAATGCATATTAAATTTATTTCACTATTTAAATAATAAAAATATCATTTTCATCATCCAGAAAATAAATTAAAAAAATTTCTTATGGATTTTTAATAGTTATCATATAAACAATTCATGTGTTTGGTAGTTAAAGACTAAGTGTATTAATTGAGAATAACATGTAACTAGTTCATATATTTTTTGAATGAAAAATTGATCATTTAGTACATAGCGATATTTTAATCAACCATTCATTTTTCAAATAAAATTAATGTGTGTTAGTTATGAAGAACATCTCAGTTATCCTTAGGTTTTTAAGATGGAAATTGAAAGTGGTAGTCTAGAGCTACACCACAATAATACTTAGGTTTTTACGGTAAGACCTGACTGTGTTAGTTGAAAACAACGCGTTTATAATTTTTGTATTAGTGAGATACATTTTTCATGTCATTCACTTGAAGCCTATGATTGAATGGGATAAAATCTATTTTTGGTACATGCTGAGGTATATATGAGGTAGACAATTCATTTGAAGTATTTTTCATCTTGAAAATCTATGTTACATCTTTTGAAAGATCTTTGCTTTTAGTGTTCAGTGTTGTGATATCTAACATATAATTGATTTTTACTCAATGTAGATTACATTTCAGGAAATAGGAAATTTTAATGAAATACTAAAATTTTGAAACATTTATAGTATCACTCATCTGCATGTAAAATAAAGACCTTAAAGTACTTTGTACTTTGAAAATTATGGAGGTGCATGTAAAAAATTAATACGAAAACGATAAACTCCTAATTTATTCAAAATTCATCTTTGTTTTATGAAGAATATTATTTGTGATTAGACATTCAGATGTATTAAAATGGAAAATTAATTATTCAAATAACGGAGTCAAGGATATGAGGCATACTTCCAGTTGTTATTTACATTGTGTAATCTGACTTCATCATTTATAATGTTGCTGAATATATATATATATATATATATATATATATGTATGTGTGTGTGTGTGTGTGCAATTTTCAGCAATCTTTTTGTTTATACATGTTGAATTAAAAAAATTATCATGATTCACAAATCAAATCTATCTAACATTGTGTACAAAATATAGATATAGATATATATTATATATGTCTTGTAAGATAATATGGTGAAAAATACTATGAAAACATCATTTAATATAAGGAATCATGTTGTCAATATGGACTTCAAAACCATTGATAAAAATAAAGTTACACAAGCAATGAAGTGAGATGAAGACATGATGACATTCATAACCTGGAATATAAAAAAAGGTTTGCTTGTAAAAGTTGACGTTTTACAAGCATCATATAAGAATTTTGCAATTACAAGAATTATCAACAATGAATGAAAAAAAAATTCATAACTCAGCCACCATGAGCCATGTGAAAGTGAACAACATTTTCAAAATTGTGAATAAAATAAAATGAAATAAAGTTTTTTTTGAAATTTAATAAATGTTTATACCAAATGATATAAAAATAAAATCGGGAACTCGGACTCGGAACTGAGGCATTATGTCATCATCTGTTTCAGCTCAACTCACGAGGACTAAACCTTGGAGTATACAGAACAAACAAGAAGTTCGGCTCAGCCCGACCACTCGAAGCTTGATTGGAATTCATAAAAGAGGAGATTCATGAGCAAAAACCTGGCATATCAATGATCAAAGACACAGGGATTGCCTTCAGTTCGAAATGCTCTCTCCGTTAATATTGTGCGGCAATTCTCGGTGAGTGCCAACTCTCAACTCAACGTGAAAGATGAGTTTGTAGCACACAGGTTTTAACATCACGGAAAGAAGCGACGCGGGACAAGCATGCCACCACCTGCCCTGATTCAATGCTACCAAGCAAGCAACAGAACTAGGCACTATTACCCTGGATTGAAGTCAAAGGCACATGCCGAGAACCAGAGATGATGACCTCGCTCTCCGAAAGCAGGATACGAACAACCAGCTTACGATCTATCTTTTGTCGCTAGCAACTTGTGATCAATTGGCATCAGAGTGCACGAAAATGTACCCACACATGATCTTGTGTATATTGTCAACAAATCAGGGCATGTAACAAACAATAGCTGGTTGATTAGAACATATTTTTGTAAAGAAAAATGAAGACATGTCACCTTATAGTTTATGTGAGAGTTAAAAAACCTTGTTACAAATAATTTTATTGTGAACAAATTGGGTAGAATTATTCACTTTACACCTACCATAATAATTATTATATATCCACAAATTGATCCACTATTTATAGATTCAATTTTTTTGAATCATGGCTTCAACAGAGTGTACATTACTCGTGAAGTTACTCATTTCATTTATATTGTTTTTAAAGAAAAATAAATTTAGTAATTACAACAAACTATTATTGTAAAATGTATAATCAAAAAGGGGAGAGAGCCAATAAAAGTGCAGAGGACAAATCATCAGCTTTCTTTAATAAATGTTCCATAGCAAAACTATAGCCAAACCATTAAGACTAGAATAAAATTGAAGCAAGAAAAAAACTTGTTCAATCGTTCGAACCATATTTACAAACTAATAGAAGACTCGTGACATTCAGTTTTATTAGTAGATAAGTGACAATGCAAAAATATATTACATATATTATGTCTAATTTTTCATGACATTATTATCTTACAAGACATATTAATATATATAATAAAATATATAGATTGATTATCTTAAAATGTTTTAAATCACAAGTTAGAAAGATAAGTTGCGTTTACTTTTCTTGAGATTTGAATCACATATATTTCATCACATTTCTTATACAGTTTTATGTAAATTCTTCATATCGTGAAAGTGTCAACAGTTTAATCTAACAATATATTCAATTTTTTTATTTACATTATTTTGAACATCTATGTTTATTTGTAACTTGCTTGATAGTTTAGACACATGATCTCATCAAAGAACGAGTATTGTTTTTTTTCCAATTTTGAAGTTATACCTATGTGATACTCTAAGATTATTGATCATATTAAGTAATTTGACAAGTAAAAAATTTCTTATTTAGAAAAACCTACTATGCATAAATATTCATCAAGCCATACGAATCGGTATGAAAATTCAATTAAATTATACTTTGAATCCATCTGAATATGATAATGTTAGGAATTAAAATAAATTGTAATATTCATAGTTTTTGTTACATGCTTGTTACGTCCATTAATGAGTTACTATATCTCATTGATGGTATCAAATAAAGTACCAGAGAATAGATTGTTCATAATGCATTGGGTCTTTACTCTCAAATTAGTTTTTTTTCCACAATTATGTATTTATGCTTGAAGCTACTTCGTCCATTCAGATCTTTTTTGTTCATACATTTAAATATCATTCTATGCATTGTAGATGTTCGTGTGACTAATACTTCATTCAAAATTTGTATATATCTAACTGTGGTGGCATTAATAATGTGGTTTGTGCTTTGATTCTTAATGGTTATTAATATCTGTTTAAAATGAACGTTTATATACAATTTAATTGTCTACATTTAGGAAATATTTATATTGGAGTTGCAGTCTTGGTGGTTATTTACAAACAACATCATAAGGTTTAGAGGGAATGATAAATGAAAATCATAGATCAGGGAATGGGGCAGAATCGAGCAAACCTTCATATACAGGATTTATATATAAGAGTTAGATTATTATTATTGTAATCATTCATGTACACATATTAGAGTTGCAAATGTATGTATGTATATATATATATATATATATATATATATGAGATTGCAAAAAAATCTACCATACTAAAAAGTATCGGATATCACGAAGGAAATATTTTGTATCCTAAGATTTAATTTTAAATATTATATCTGCAAAGAACATTTATTAGTGATGTGCATTGAAATACACTCACATTAGATTAGTTAAGATACTCATGTTGTTTCTATACAATTATATACTTCGTACTTAGGACATATACAAATAATTATCAAACTAAAGTAGAACTATTAGCATGAGGTTTCTTCTTTGCTTTCATCCGCATGGCTTCATAGGTCTTCATATTTCTTTACACTTAGCCCATCTCATAAAATTCTCATTAAACCCTACATACTGAAGAAGAAGCCAAAATATTTTACTCTTGAGTATACCCGTCATTGATTTGGTCAAAGAAGTAATATTTGCTTCCATCTTGCTTTGTCAAAGTAAAATCTACTGTAAAATTGAGGTACTCGTGTCCGTCAGGCACATATTAGCTACCAGGCACAAATTGGACAACAAGTGTACTGCAACCTCAACTTTGGAGTGAACCATGAGAGTAACCACAAAATTCTTCTTGTTTATCAAGAGTTAGAACATGCTTTTGTATCACGAGCATCATCTTTGTACAATGAGAAGTGACGTACTACTCCCAATCACCTCATACTCATTTCAACATGTGGGCAGTATTAAGGCTAGCGGCTAAACTGAAGATGAATTGCGAATAGGCTCGCATCGTACTTTCCTTCCCTTGCATTGCCTTTCCGTGCCGTACCTGCTGCGTCAGGTTTAGAAACGTCGTGTGGGGGAGCTGACGAAGGTTGATTCAACGGGGTTTCCTCGAGCAGAATACAACGTACAAATTTGGAAGGTTGAGTTTGCACCTGAGACACTCCTTGAATAGGTCGGTCCTAGAGATTGAGCTATTTCAGCTTTTGTGATTTGAAGAGTGGGCGGAGGAAGAGGAACCCGCAAGAGAAGCAGCACCATCGAATCTTCAAGGTGGAAGGTACAGCTTGGTCGGAATGAATACGGAGAAGGGTTTCCAGGATCGAGGTGAAGGCTGGGCTGTTCGGCGCTTCTCGTAGGCACCAGGTGATAAGTCACCTTATGAGTCTTGCCACTGTAGTTATCATTACCTAGGGAGAAAGGACCGGAGCCGACGATTTCGAGGCATTACAGAGACTTTTTATAACAGTATCTAACCTTCGAGCCCATGAGAACTAGCCCTAGAAGAAAGAATTGGAACTGAAGCGGTCGTTGGTGACTTCGGCGGATCTTATTTATGTGAAGAATTTTGTCATTCGTAGAGACGATTGTGTAGACGAATTGAACGGCCGTGATCACTAGACCGGATCGAATCTACCTGGTATGGATAGCGTGACTACTGTTAACAAACTTGCAACGTAACACGCGAAGGACTCCGTGGAATCAGATCCACTTCAATGTGACTATCGAAGGCGAGAGAGGTCTTTTGAAAATTCAGCTCACATTGGTGTTAATGTGGAATGTGATTACTGCCTCAAGGTTCTAACCTGAGAAGAGTCCTTGTGAAGATCGCAAGAAACTGGCAGCTTAGAGTGTGCTGCTTGATCAGGGTACTTTGATAGCCGTGGAGGAGGTGAAAGTTTTCGAGTTAGGTGTCAGGAGTTTCACTTTGGAATGTGCACGACCCTAAACCCTGAATTTTCTGTACTGTCACATTAGGTACTATGCCGAATCCTATCTAAAGCTTCTTCGAGTTCTTCTTGAGTACATTCCACTCTACGCCACCATTTCTTCCCCACTAGCGCTAAACTGAATTATTTCTCGTCTGGAGTGAAGATTTCAGCTGCACCATGTCTCCGTAAAGATAAAGTTCACTCCCATCACAGTGACTGTGGTCGAAGACTGGTCAAGAAATCCTCGTGGCCATCTATTCAAAATTATCATATCACCGTGGCGCTGTACCACTGGAGTGCAACCTCTATGTCAGAACTGACCTTCGGAGTGTACAATTTCTTCGGAGGTTTTGGTCAAAGGCAGGTATTGATTGACCCCCTGGTAAAGTATTGTGCACAGACGTAGTACAGTCTGCACACCCAAACTAGTTGAGCTCAAGTTTGGAGAGGCGCGCTTTGAAACCCTTACCTATGCGAGGATGAAAAAGCAGCAGCAGCACTGTATTGCAAGCATCGTGAACTGCCTTTGCTCGGGAAGTACATTAACAGGTCGGTATCGCTCGGCCCTTCTCGGTTAAATGGGACTCCAGCTCGTTGTACTGCTCGCACATGATGACTACTTCCCCGTCAGAAAATTCAATCTTAAGGTGGCCTGAAGACTCTAGAGAAAATTTGCGTCTAAGTGGTCCGGCCACATCTTCGGAGAAGCCTCTTACTTCATCTGGTCCTCAGCCAATGGATGGACTCCAGAGTAGTGGGCCTCCTCCTTTCCTCAATAAAACTTATGACATGGTGGACGATCCTGCCACAGATGCAGTTGTTTCGTGGAGCAGTAGTAGCAACAGTTTCATTGTGTGGAACCCCCCAGAGTTTGCTCGAGACCTGTTACCAAAGTATTTCAAGCACAACAATTTCTCCAGTTTTGTGCGGCAACTCAACACCTATGTAAGACAAGATGCTTCCGTTTTGTATGAATTGCAATGAAAAGATTGCCCTAAGAGTGTACTTAGACTTTCCGTTTTCAATGCTTGACTTGGAATAGGCTTGAAATAGCGTGATGTCCATGTGTGAGATCTGTTCTGTACTTTTGAACTCAACCGATGAAATTTTGTGCTATTATATATGTGCAGGGTTTCCGCAAAGTAGATCCCGATCGCTGGGAGTTTGCGAATGAAGGATTCCTCCGCGGCCAAAGACATTTATTGAAGAATATTCACCGCCGAAAGCCTGTGTCTCACAATCAGCCTCAGCCGCAACCACCATCGCAAAGTTCAACTCTTGGGCCCTGTGTAGAGGTAGGCAAATTTGGTTTGGAAGGGGAGATTGAACGCCTTAAAAGGGACAAGAACGTTTTGATGCTGGAGTTGGTTAGATTGAGACAACAGCAGCAGGCGACAGAGCGTGAATTGCAGGTTATGGGCCAGCGACTGCAGGTCACGGAACAGAGGCAGCAACAAATGATGTCCTTTTTGGCGAAGGCAATGCAAAATCCTAGCTTTCTGGCTCAGCTTGTGCAACAAGAGAACAGCAAACGTGTCGCCACTGACCGGAAAAGGAGGCGTTTACCGAAACAGGAAGGGGCTGGGGACTCTGGAAGCTCTGGGTCTGCCTCAGAAGGCCAAATAGTGAAGTACCAGCCAAATACATCAACTGACTCTGCCCGAGCCGTCCTTTTGCATCTGTTCAACAACACCGAATCCACGACAAAGATGGAAGCGAACAATTCCTTTGAAGCCTTGTTCCGTGACATGGGGTCAGGGCGCGCAGAAGAGTTGCAGGAGGGCAGCTCTTTGAACCGACAGTCCGGAGTAACTCTTACCGAGATGCATGTTCCTGTGACCGACGGGTTTCCCATTTCATCAGTCGACGAATTGCCGGAGGAGACGGCTGCCTGTCTTACTCCCTCCTCTCCCATCATTGTTGCAGGGACACAAGTAGGAGCTCAAGCAACTGCTAACGTTCTAGAGGGTGGTAATTATCTGATACAATCCTCACTAACAGATGTTTCCGCAATAGAGAGCAATGGACAATCTGTAGCCCTGGATTGTGGTATCAGCAGCAGTGCCGGTCGTATTTCTCCTGCAGACGATGCAGGGACTGGCGTAGATAGTGCGGGAGTCGCCCCAGGCATAAATGATGTATTCTGGGAGCAGTTTCTGCGGGGAAATCCCGACTCTTCAGAAACTGAGACTGAGGAAACGGAATTCGGAGATAACGCTGCACGTGAAGGAGAAGGAGAACCTATGGGGAGTGTACAATGGTGGAGTAACAAGCCGAGTGTTGATCAGCTTGCTGAACAGATGGAGCAGCTTGCTCCAGGATCGAAGCCTTGAGGTCATAGTCAGCAGCTTAATGGGAAGTGAAGTAGCGTTGGACATAGTGATGTAATATTTCTGGTTGCTCAAGCGGTATTGCCTGTTGCTAGCATCTGGAAGAAGTCGTCGGTGCATGGTTCTGAGAGAGAAAAGTTGAATGAGAACAGAGAGTAGATGATTGTGAAGCTAGGCAGCCTCGATACACATGATATGGATCATGCTTCTTGACGCACCTTTGACAGTTTTCTAATTTTCTTTATCTTTGTAATTATCACGAGTTTTGTGTCATTGGTTTACCCTCTGTCTGGGATCAGTTTGCTATGTGTTTCTTTCTCATCGTTGAGACTCTTGGTGAATAAATGGGGATTGCAGTCATATCACAGACCTCTCTTTTGTTGGTGGGAAAAATTTCGGGTTTCCATTTAATCAAGGATTTGTTGGATCAAAGCAAGAGAACTGTATTTCTTCGATTTGTATTATTTCCAACAAACCAGGCATCTTGCTCCAGGCATCTTGGTTTAAGGTCTATACGTTAGGTCCTGTAAGGTGGAGATGTGACAAGGTGGGTGATCACGACCCGACAGATGATCTTGTTTCAAATAGCAAAACTGAAGTCCCCATTTATTCGTGTGCCGCAGAGCACACTTTAGAAGTTTCAAAGACACTGAAGAGGACAGGCGTGCTTCTGGTTTAGAAGTCTACATTTGGTCTCACCTGGGATCCATCTTCATCTGCCCAGTAGATAATTTTACCCGTAAGTCTTACGATTGCTACGTGAAGCAATGATTACGTAAGCAGTGTGAACCTGCCCTGATTGTTGGAGAAGGTTCCAACTTATGCAGATGGCTTTTTTTGGTACTACCTTTTGGTACCGAAGTCGCGGGCTTCTGATACTCCAGTCAATACCGAGATATTGACAGGCCGAATAAAAGCCTGCCGAAGCTAGAAAACTTACTCTGCTACTCGTAACTAGCTTCGAACAGCTGCACAGAGCTCGCACATCAAACCTGGACATGTCCTCAGATCTGAGCACATGGTCAGGTGAAAAACCAATTGATGAAGACAGCATGTATGGCTTTACATACATGTGAGAATCTACTAACTTTATCACACAGATTTTTAGGCAGTTACTTATTCTAACACTGAATAATTTGAACACTTACAAAGTGGTAGGAACTACTAGTATATACTGTATCTCTATACAGTGTTTACTAGCCGTGGCTGCATGTTTAGAAAGGCTAGAAGATACTCTCGTGCGTAAATGTGACTGACTGAACTTCAAACTGTTGTTCGAATTCATGCGAAGGGGTTCATATTTGAAATCATAGTTACACCTTATCCTTGCTTGTACAACGTACAACCGCGTTACAATGTTTAGAGTGGAGTAACTTAGAGTAGAGTTTTAGCCTGTAATTTTCAATCAATCAGGAACAATTTTCACCACGTAATGGAGAAAGACTGCGTCCAGTGTTTGCTCCGTCCTTTGTTGAATGTTTGGATTGTGTTTTCCCCAAGAAAAGTGCTTTGGGCCCATCAGCTTCTCTGTAGTTGTTCCTCTGCAGGTTTCATGTGGGCAAATTCACATTGTTTGGCTCGAGTTTTCACTGGCTTCTCTCCTGCACTAGAAAACTCGTGACAAGAGTACTGGTTCTTTGGCCCAGCTACTTCACGTGAAAGGACGCCGATGAAGTCAAAGTGTTTCTGTATTTCATCTTTCATATTTGCTTAGTTCAAGCTGTACTGACATTCTCGCTGGAGAACAGCATAGTGATTGATGCAGCAAGGATATACACTTTCTATGGCGGATTTTGGTCTACCTCGTCGGGTTTCAGAGGCTATTGGGGATAATATCTTACGCCGCGATTTCAGCTATGAGTCTTTGCTATGTCGTCATTTGAACAGGCGGTTGAATTTCTTGCGGGTTAAAATTTTTCAGAGTAGTGAGTAGTCACTATCTCTTTTCCAATTGTGGGCATTGGATAGTATCAGTGATCTTGCAGGTGGCTTATTTTCTCAAACTTCAGCTGCACTCGACTTTCGCTTGCTCTCAGCCACGTACAACCAGCAGCGGACTGGATTGCATGTCACTGATCCTCATCAGGATACGTTCTTGATGATCACAGTATGCCTAGATCACACGTGCAAAGAATTCATTCTCCATTTTTTTACCGGGCTCCAAGTCACGTTATAATTTCACTGTAATGCCACAACTTTTCATGTTAGTCATAGCCCTGCGTCCCTCTCTAAGTACTTGTACTCAATCGTTTCACATAAATTTACGCAGATGAGAGCATGCTCTACACTCGGAAAGTGTACCTCTCTTATTAAAACGACTTCAGGGTCGGTAGGTATCGGATGGATTATGTGAACATGTCATTTCTTTGATGTTTTGAACCTGCATTGTTTTGACCATAGTTTTTTTGTAAAAACTCTTGGTGGTTTGATTGTGACGTTATTAAACCCCAAAGTCTAAGGCCAGTGGTAGCGGTTTTAAGTTTTGAAGCATGACTTGGTTCTTGACACAAGGCTGGCTTGTGATGGTTTGGAGCTTTGGGTAAATTTTCTGGTCGAGAAGTTTCTGAGATAATTTTTAGTCACCTATGTCCATTTGCTCCATATGCATTTGTGGGTATTGGATTCTGAAAGTCTCATTTTCGTGATTTTCAAATATGGTTCATTATATATCATTATCGCATCATTTTGTCGTTTTATATCCTGATAACCTACATGACGCACATGTAGTCTTGATCTTCTTTGATACATATGCGTGCGTTATACATCTTTTAGCATATGCGTGGTTATTATGCGTGGTCTTCTAGGGTGTACGAAGTACAATGTTCAATACTTCGTGCGTCCTCACCCTGTTTGGATCTACATGGTTAGATTGATCCCTTTTGTTTTAGAAAGAAGACACTGGCATTCCGAGGGGTTTCAATTGTGTGATGTTAGTTATAAACTGTTTATCTCTGTACTTTTGAGATAAATTCCCTTCACGGTTTAATGTTAAAGTTTGTTATTGGGCGCTTACTGGACTGAACTTGCGAGCACTTGATTGAGCTTTTGATCACTCGGTTAGAATTTAGTGGATGAACGCCATCTTTATTTCCAAGACCGAGTATCTCTAGGCGGACGAAGTGTCTGGTCTTCCTCATTAGCAGTTTTCCTACGAGATGAACCAACACGGTCTTCCACACCACCATCCTCTCAGTTCTCGATTCCTGCACAGCATACACTCAGTTGATGCCCTTGAACTTTGTGCACTTAAATCCACATAAGGTACATTGAAAAGCAATGAAATAAAATTTTAAATAACTAAAAAGTACTAAGTATTATCTTGTTTGTTTGATGGCTTATTAAACAATATCAAATTTTTGCTAGACTAAGTTGATGTTGATTATTGGCAAGATCGAGACAAGAAGAAATCTACTACGGATATGTGTTTATATTTGATAATAGATGCATTAGTTGAAAATATATTTTGGAAAATTGATCAGCTCAATCCATAACTGAAACTTAATACATAGCGGTAGCAAAAAGCAACAAAGAAACTATTTGATTGAATAGGCTTATCACTGAAGTGATATTGAAAAATTAGGCTATCAATCTTCATTATGATAGTTAAAGTGGATAATATCTTGCTGCAACTCAAGTGATGTATAACATAGTGAAATTTATCAACAATAAATATCATATTGTGAAAGAAAAATATACTGTCAAAATGGACAATATATTCAATCTAGCTAATGCATTGATCAAATTTATTTTTTTGTAAAAATTTAGTAAACATTATGCTACTTTGTAGGTTGTTCATGAAGAGCACAAGTAAATTTTAATAGTAATTTATATATATATATATATATATTATCTTGTTTTGGTTTAAAAATAATCTATGCTAGATATCTTTCTAAGACTTAACATATAATGTTTATATAGATTAGGAGGATTATTATCTCAGAACATGACAAGAGAAAAATTTGTCAAAATAAACTCAGGTTTAAACTAAATTCAACTAGCTTAACCTTATTTAAAATTTTGGTTTTGCTATTGATAAACATAGAGGAAGCTAAAGCTTTCAGCAAACATCTTAGGGTTTTTATCAATAAAGATTGTTTTAAGTTTATGTTGAAGTAGCTATAGTGACAAACCAATATGCTTTGTTTCTGAGTTTCTTTGTATGCTTGTGTTGGCACTTTGATATGTATGTGTATTCTTGTTTTGTCTTTGTGATTTGATCCAACAGCCAATACATCTTCAAAATCAATGTAGCCATCAATCAAATTATTGAAAACTTTACTCCAATTTTTCTTCTCGTTAGAAGTTAATTTACTTGTGGGTCCACCTGCAAGGCTCCACTAACTCGGCTCTATCCATTAGCGCCACAATCACCAATCCGTGAAGACTCCAACAATAAAACCAGACAACAAGATGCAGTTCACTCCATTAATTTCATGCAATTGCAGGTTGATAGATAGATGGCAATAAATTTGAGCTAATGAACCAATACATTTTTGTCTTCACATAAAATCCAAGAGTGAGAGGGACAAGCTTATGCACAAAAAAGCTAGACATCATTTTGATGTACTATCAATTATTATGTTCTTTCACAAGGAAAAACAAGAAACCATAAACATACACAGAGATGTGAATAGAGTGCGTGATTTATCACTTTGGTCTACGTCTATGAATGATCAGAATGGCTTTACTACTAAAAAATCCTAAATTGTTCAATGAGAGCTTTTCATAGCTCTCGTTTATAATGACAACATAAACTAAACTCTAACTAGATCTAAACTAACCTAAGATAAAATTGTTAGTATCTATTCAAGTATAAGGTTAGCTCTAATTAGCTTAACACTAGTTAGAGTTAGGTTCAAGAATTCTGCTATCCACAATATAGGAATATGAGTCATAACTTGCTTCAAACACTTTTAGTTTCATTAGAATCTTATGGTTTTTGTGGACATAGCTTTATAATGGAAAATCATGTATTTGTTGGTGTTGTGTGTATGTGTTTGATTCTCTAATTGTAATTTACGAATTTTTTGCTTTTTATCTCAAAAAATGATATTATAGCTCAAAACAACTTGCAGACCTAGCATGAAAAAATTGCAAGTGATCCCACAACAATCAATTTTTATTGGAGCAAAAAAAAAGCTACAAAGGTGACATATTTGCTGAAGAACATATTTCATTTGAAGACATAAATGAACAATGATGATAGCAAAGGAAATTTTGGATTGGCCATCGACATGTTTTCGCAAGACAAAGAAGTAAAAAATGACATCAACCAATTGAAAAAAGGGAGCAACAATGATAACTTGCAAAACATGTTTAGGACAAGTATTGGACAGATGATTTTCA